TTTTGGGATGCAGAGATAATATGAGTACAGTTAGTGATGGTCAACCTCATTTCCCACCATCGAGAGATGGGTAGGAGAGAACCCTGGGAACGAGGTTGAGTGATGGTCTGTTTGTGATTGACAATGTCAACGGGCACATCTTTGTCCTTCAAACTATAAATCACTTGATCATTATTGCTTGCTCCTTGATTTGTATAATATTATGGCACAAAACATTTTGTTAATATTAATATTGCAGTGGTCTATAATCCTTACCTCAAGAAAAGCATTGTTTCCCTCTCTGGACCCTCTGCTTGAATACAATTCTCGTACAGCATGACCAAAGGTGTAAAAGTTATACCTGCAAAACAGAAAAAAAAATTGTCATGTAAATAAATCTATAATCATATCAATAATAAAATAATGTAAAACAGAAATTTAAATCACAGTATGCACTGTTCATTGAAGAAAGTAAAAAGAAAAGAGCTGTCACAAAGCTAATAAATAGGTATTGTACATGCATGCAAGGGCAAGAGGTGAACCCTAGTCATTTGTAAGCACTCCACCTCAAAAAGTTGACCTACAATGTTTACAAAAAACAGTCAACCACTGAATTTGATGTTTCTTGTCTTGACAATACAGGTTCCTGCACTACATGTAAAAGAACTGACTCACTGCGCCTGTATGACAAGTAGTTCCCTGTGGTGGCCTTTATTGGTAGTGGCTGAATTAAAGATATACAGGGCATGGGGAGTTGACAAAAAACTGTTTATTTACGTTCCAGTATCCATGTGATTTAAGGAAACTGTTGGCTGGTTATGGCGTTTAAGCTCAGGTGGTTTTTCTTCGTGAAGTTCTTTAAGTAGCAGTTTCAGAGCTTCATGGTTTTGATTTAGAAGGGCATAATGCACTGCTGCAAGCTGGATTTCGGGGCTTCTAGGCCAATGAACCTGTTACAAAAACATTCATTAAAATTAATGAAGTTCAATAAATGTTATTATTATTCATTCAAAATATTTCCCAAATTCTGATTGGCTAAAAGCACACGCATAATTCACCATAACCAGCTACTGATGACCAAATTTGGAAGAATTTTGAGTTTAATGAACTGATGACGTCAAAAGTGCAACCTTCTTGCAGGTTAATGCACTGTTAACCGAGAAGACCTGGGGATGAGGCTGAGTTGTTTTGGTTGTGAAAACAAAAATGGTGCACATTTCACTCGTTTCAAGAGTGAGAACTAGGTGAAACAATAGCTAAAAACATGGCAAGAACAGCAAGAAGACAACTCGAAGGGTTACATCTGCTATTTGGAGAATATTTGCGGAGCTGATCAACAACCCTAAACGTGCACTATCGAAGATGTACTTACCATCGATGGAGGTAAGCATGTTTTAGCTAAGTTTTTAAACTAGGAATAATTCATCTTCGAATGAATAATAAAACAATGATTGAATTCAGCTTTCATATCATGAAGAATTATGGAGATCTGGGAGGGTGTTGTCTACGTTGCCTATGGCCTTGACGGATAACACCCTCCTCGATCTCCATAATTCTTCATAAGATACTCAGCCTCATTCATTGACTGTTAATTATTAACATTTAATGACCTGATGAATACATGATATCAACCTTGGCTGATCCCAGGTAAACAATTATGTGTATTAATAACCCATTTCCAGGCATGTAATAACTTTAATAATTATTATAATTTATGTTACATTAATAATTCAAGGTACAAGTTTGCACACTTACCGTATACACTTCTTGTCTATTTTCAATTGCACGTTTAAGCATCTCCATGTCATTCACTAAGACTGCTTTGATTGCCCATTTTACAGGCATCAATGGAATGTCCTCACTAAAAAGGTATAGGAACATTTATAGAGGTCTTATGTAATTAACCTTCAATTAAAGTAACTGTCCATAACGAAGGTTTATGAGAGAGACATTACCTCCCTAAGCCTAACACTAACTACATGTATATATCTAGGAATTAAAACAGACCTGGTTTCAAATGTCAGATCTTTTTCAAGCAGTTTAATATTTTCATTTGGAATAAGCACTCCAGCTCTTCTTGGTTTATCCCTCTTTGTAACCAATGCCTTTTTCTTCCTTTCTTTCTTTTCTTTAGGCTCAGCAGCTTTCCGCTTCCTACCTGGACCCTTGGCGGGCGTGGCTGCACCCTTTTTCTGGCCTCGTTTTCCCCTCTTGGCTGGAGAAGAGGTTGAAGAAGACCTGGAGCCACTTCGTGTTCGTTTTGCAGGAGGTTCATCTTCTTCCTCTTCTTCATCTTCATCACCAAGCTCATCATCATCATCATCATCTTTAAAAATTAATTTATTCAAATGAAAACAAGATATTATTATTATTTTGGCACAATTTTAACTCCATGTTAATTATACAGTGGCATTCTAACTTATGGCTAAAATAGATCATCAACAATAGATAAGGTTGCTATGAGAAAGTACCACCCTAGAGGTACTTAACAAAGTGTTATGCAGAATAGTTCCACTCATGGGGGGGGGATCCCTTACTTCAGCTTTGAGAGAAAAGGTACCCTTTTTGTTAACCTTTTAGGAGAAAATGGTACCCGTTTCACATGTCTAGTCTACAGTGTAGTTTAGAACTTTGCATCCCTTTAAACTGCTGTAAATGTACTGTTTTTAAAAATTTCTTTAATGAATAAATCACAATAATTTATCAGAACGTCTTCCTGACTTTCTCACAGGCATAAATGTTTCTGTTAGCCCTTTTCAGCCCTTCTAAAGATCAAAATGACACATTTCACTGCCCTTAAATCGTATACCTGAAATCTGAAAAAGGCACCCCTTTCCAGCAGAGCTTCCCCATATACATGTTGCTTATTATAGGGAGTGCCCTAACCCAACCACCTCCCCCACAGCAGGCTTTTGCCCTTCAGAAACAAACCTCCTTCATCCTGTGAAACTTCTTCCTCCCCTCGTTCAGCAGCAAGAGCTTCTTTTAACAGTTTCTTGGTTTGTTTTAAGTGTGGCTTGGAAATTGCATATTTCTCAGGCTGCACCTCTGACAAAGCTACACGAGTGATAACGGAATCCATGTAACAAACATCATCAAATGAGACCTGGAGGAGCGTTGAAAAGAAATTCTAGTATCTAGAAAGCCATAATCAGGTTAAATAACAAAGACAGACTGTGTAGCCACAAGAAAATTGAAATTGAATATGGCCAAGTTTGGTTTATGCATGTAGCAAAAATAATTTAATTTTGAACGGAAATACAGTTGAACGTCAATAAAAATAAACTCCATATATGAAGTCCTTGGTATAATGAACGATTTTCTTCACAGCAGTAAGACACATGAAAAAGAACCTTGATGTAACAAAACCACTTTAGTGAACAAGTTTTGCAGTCCCTTGGCCCTTCGTTTAATTATATCAAGGTTCCACTGTCATTTTTGAAGAATCCCTTACATTGCCTTAAATGAGGCTATTGCGGCTAACTAAATCGGAGCCACAATGTAACGCTATAAATTCCGTTGTCTAACAGAAACAAAACAAAACGGAGTGACTGTGGGAGTGGCCGCATCACGCGAAAAACAAACAGTAACGCAATCCAACACCACTTGTTTATTTCCACCACGTTTTGTCCCCTTTTCTAAGACAACACGAGTTACCTCTTTCCCAGACGATAAAGATATGACTACGTTCATTCACTATAACATTCGAGAGGTGTGTTAACAACCAGAAAGGCAAAAAGCAGAATTTTCCATTTGAAGCTCTGTGCAAACCACATGGGATAAAAGACCATGGCTAAAAAAGGCCTTTCTCGTGACTGTCGTGATAAAACGCCGAAAAGAACTTACAACAATAATCGGAAACATTTGTAAAATTAATACGAGAAACGTAGCTCACCTCGTACAAGTTATCATCAACTCTATTAAACCATGCCACTCCAAAGCTAGTAGCGCTTTCGGGTACGTCTTCGAGCACGCGATTAGAACTCAAACTCTTCAGTTAAATCTGCCAAAGGAACAACTTTTCCTCTTCTTTTCATGGACATTAATCGGCGTGACATACGCAGCGGAGGTGCAATTTCTTCCTCCTCGACGCTCGCACGCGTTTGTCCGCCTCTGGCGGAAAGTGACTTCTTGCTTGAAGCGAGGGAAACAGAAATGTCATTTTCATCTTCGCTAGAAACCGCCGCATCTGTATCTCCACCCTCAGAATCACCATCGCCTTTTTCATCAAGCAAATCATCTTCACCTGGTGGTAATTCTCCACCTTCGAGGTCTTCAACTTCTTCGTCCACATGTATCTCAAGATCTTCTTCTCGGACTTGGTCGGGATCAGCCTCGGATGGCGGTCGGCTTGCCGATTCACAAGTTTCCCTTTCCAACTCAACTAAGATTGCTAAAGAAGACTGTTTCTTGAGAAGACGAGGTCTACTTGACATTTTAAACAGTCGATTCTTTTGATTCACGTATAAGCCAAAAATTAAACTAAAAAAACAATGCCCCACAAGCTGTTTGTCCCTCAGGCGTCGACTGAGATGTGACTGTTGATTCCCTTGGAACTCCGCAATGATACTGAGTGAACTGATAAGTGGGTGAATTTAAAGCCACATAAGTGCGTGGGCAGATGGTCTGGGCAAGCCCGAAATTACAAATTAAAGAATAGCAAGGCACGCTTTTCTGTAATGTCCGCTTTCGTTCACGCTTCGTTCTCTTTCAAGGGAAGAGGCAGAGACTGGTTTCCAGTTCTGCCATTTCTTGCGTGACACGTAACCATGGATGATAGATGTAACACAACTGGCGTCTAAAAAGAACTTGCGCGAAACCCGCTTTTTGAAATCTTTCATACATTCTGTCTTAGCTTACGAAGGCCCTTCTTTTTTTTTCCCGCAGAAATTTTATTAAAACTAAAACTAAATTTTCCGAAAACCTCGCCTCCACTAGCTATGCCGAAACACCCCACCCCCGACCCCGCCTCGGCTTCCCCCTTGAAACTCACAATGCATCATGGGTGTGGTTGAGAAAACCTCTGAAATGGCGGAAGGAGACAGCATTTTCTCCAAAATCATTCGTAGAGAGATTCCTTCTGAATTCCTTCACGAGGATGAACAAGTATGTTATTCTCATTTAGCTCGTTAACTTAAATCATTTAAGATTTGTGACTCAACAATATTATCAACAATTTGCTCTTAATAAGGTGAAAAAACTCAAGAAAGGTCCGTAGGTTGTGCATTTCACATTTGAAATAAGCCTAGAGTAGTTTCAGTTTCATTTTCTGCATTTTTAATGTATGATTTTTCATTTGGTGCATCTGCATCTCCATCCGTTACAAGCAAGCCAATCCACTCTTCTTTTCCTGTAAACTCCTCCATATTTAACTGTTAACTGCTATGTTGGTGTGTTGAGTCAGAAACCATGTGCAAGTGAAAACCCAAGGGTCAATCCGGGATTGGCAAAAATACCCGTCCCCCAGGTCGCAAAAAGGTGTTAATGCCCCACCCCAGGACTGATAAGGCATGTAAATCCCCCACATTTGCCTGTGGGGGATGGGTGCAGCAATTGACTGATGGATAACAGCTTGAAATGGTTATGATTCCAGTGTGTTGCCATAAAGGACATTAATCCTCAGGCACCTGTACACTTCCTTGTCATTCCAAAGAAGCCAATTCCCCAGCTGTCAAAAGCAGATGATGCCGACGAGCAGGTGAGGATAGTAAGGGAAGGTTAAATGGACTGAAATTTAAAAGGGTGATACCGTGTGGCACAGAATTTTTGCGGGTTCTTATTTTTTTGTGATATTTGCAATTATTACAGTGATCCGCAAAAACAAGTTCCCACAAATAAAAATTACCAAACATTTTTCCTGAAAAAATTTACTCCTGAGTAAAATATTCTCTAACAAAAATACACTACTAAGAAATTGTGTCTGGTCAATTACAACTTTCCTCTTTCATTCATTCAGAAAAAAAACAGTATACAATGTTCTTTTACACAGGGTGAGCATATTGTAGTATTGTATTTCTATATTGCACCTACTTAACAAAAGCAAATTAATATTATCAATGCTGAGTACATAGTGGGTACCGGTACTTTCTAAAAATCGCAAAAATTAATTCATAGCAAGAAAGAACAATCTGTTTTTATTGCAAAAATTAGTTCTTGCAAAACACAAAAAATCACCAGTCCACAAAAATATACTCCTGCAAAAATTTTGTGCCACGTGGTAATCTCCTTGCAACTAACAGGTTCTTGGGTCACATGATCTGCACCCAAGATGAACTAATAACTCACCTCTTACGACCTCATTACACTATCGCCACCCACAACCCTCTGTGTGAAACCACATCCCTTGTGCCACTCAAGGAAAAGATAGCCAGTAACTATTATGGGGTAAATAGAACTGAAAATTTTGCCTCCTTCATATGTGAAGAAAGGAGAAAAGAATGATAACCAACATCATGCACTTCCAGAAAATTCAGGATATTTTGTGACCAGAAAACAGCTTGACAAGCATCTTAGAGTATTCTTATTATTGATTTATCATCATCATTACTGTATTATGATAAACGTTTTTTAAAACACAAGCTTTTGATTCCACTGGGACTCTCTGAACGACCAGGATAATCGGGAAAACCGGGATAACCACGACAACTGGGAAAACCAGGAGGCCATGATGACTGGGATGACTAGGACCACCAGAACAACTGAGACAATTCGGATAACCAGGACAACTAAGACAACCTGGGACAACCGAGGCAAACCAGGACAACCAGGATAACTGGGACAACTGGAAAGACTGGGATGACTGTGACCACTAGAACAACTGAGACAACTGGGATAACTAGGACAGCTAAGACAACAGGGACAACCAAGACAACCAGGACACCCACAACTGGGACATTTGGGATAACTGGAATGACTATTACAGCAAGTGTGTCAACAATGGTGGTGGACAGCTAAGACAACTGGGACAACCGAGACAACCAGGACACCCACAACTGGGACATTTGGGATAACTGGGATGACTATTATAGCAAGTGCGTCAATAATGGTGGTGGGGGATCATCTAAAGTTGTCAGGCTACACCTTTGATGGGTCCTCCTCTTCGATTCTCATAATGGAGGAGTTAGGAAGACAATCAAAATATTATTTTGTCAGGCTACAACATTGAACAGAGACGCTGGTTACGAGGTCCTTGTGATTCATTGAAATGTTTTGTTTCGTGATTAGTTAAATGGTATTGTAAATCGCAAGACAAAATGCCTAAATCCATCACTTATATAAAGATTCTCTGATGGAATCAAACGCTTGTGTTTAAAAAAGTTTTTTCCTATCCTGTATATTGAATCGTCATTTATCACTGTGACAGGATTAAGTGAGTCTTTTTTTGCTAAGACATTATCATTATTAATTTATTAATACTGTTTTTATTATTATTATAATCATAACTATAACAAATTTGTCAAATCTGATTGGCTATCAACTGCCCTGATTTCAGCCTTAATTGGACAGTTTAATAGGACAGTACGCGCCATCACATGCGTGCTTAAATGATTTTTTTTTCTTTACTGCTAGCACAACAAAATTTCGAATTTCGTGTTTTGATTTTAAAAAAATAATAGCCTATTATGTCACAAATTTCGTTAAAGTTATGATTAATTGGTAACAGAACTTTGTGTCGTCCAATTCGGTCTGTGATCATACTCATGATTAAACAAATCGGGCTCCCGCGTTAATCACTCGTATGATTACAGACCGAATTGGAATCCAATCAGTCCTGTTACCATTACTTATTATTATTATTGTTGTTGTTATTATTATTATTATTATTATTCTAGAGGGTGGAAGGGGTAAATCCTTGCAAGTTACATGGTTAAATGAATGTTGTGATACTTCACGTACCAACCTAGCTTGTTCAGTCCCCTTATTTTTCCATAAGATCATCAAGATTGAGCACTTTGCATTAGCGGTGGCCACCATCAGCTATCTTGGCTACATAGCCTGTTGAGGAGTGTCTCATTGCTTGATACATATGAAACCAAGATGGCTACCCCAAATGGTAAGTGCTTGATCCTGACAATCTTATGAAAAGATAGGAATATATCTAATATCGACCCAGCTCTCTACTGCTACTGGCATTTATAACTGTCTGGAAGCAAGAAAACAAGAGATTTTGTAAGATCATTTTTCGTTTTCAATATTTTGTCTCAGTTACTAGGCCATCTACTGTTAGTTGCCAAAAAAGTTGCAGCTGAACAGAACCTAACCAAAGGGTTTCGCATAGTGATTAATGATGGCAGTGAGGGAGGACAGGAGGTGTACCATATCCATGTTCATGTTTTGGGTGGACGACAATTGACCTGGCCCCCAGGTTAGGTGAGTAACTTGCAAATTACCCCCAGTTGGTTCTAAGCATGTACACATGATGAAAAAATGAATGTTCGAATTGGGTGCAAAAACTACATGTTCGCCTCCAAGCATTCAGAGTTTAGGGTGTTGTGGGTTGGCCTTGTTTCTTACAGGAGGCAGTTGTTTAAATTTTACCGTTTCTGGGTAGGTTGCTCATGGCGGTTTGAGTGGATTTAAAAGACAAATGAAGATGACTCTGCTGAGGACATTTTTGCTGCATATTGAATAAAAAGAGGACTCTCTTTATGGTTACCGAGTGGCCATTCTCTTAGCCTTCAAAATTCATCTAATCGTGACAAAAGTTCCTCTTCAGAGATTATTAAAGTACACAGGGTTCGTACAGAGTCTTGGATTCTTACAAAAGTCTTAAAATTTATCCAGCTATTTTCCAGACCAGGAAAATAGATGAAGTTTGGAAAAAATGAAAAAAAGTCTTTTCTAAGCTACAACAATTGCTATAAGTAATTTCATTCAACCACGCCTGTATGTTTGCAGGGCACCATGAAAAAAGCTGTGTTCCTTCACCTGTTTGATAAAACTTTGAGTATGGAAAAAGAAATTATTGTTTTAGAAAAAGGTCTGGAAAAAGTCTTGAATTTTGGATCCAAAAATCGTGTGAACCCTGAACTGTAAAGCACTGCAAGCCCTATTTGCTTAGTAGCTTGACCTCTATAAGTGAGATTTTTTATGTCAAATGTGAAATTGGCTGAAGTTATGCTGTAGGCTAGGGTATCTAAGATACCTTGACCAATAGTGATCAAGATGCTTGAAATGTTAAACTGTTATCGCCAGATGTTGAATTTATATTTGTGATCTGGCTTATTGTCCCTGTTAAGTGCAGACCATCTTGATCATCTAATTTCCTGATGGCTTAAAGGGCCAATGTCATGCTATTTGCTGTTATTTATGTATGGCGTACATTTGCAGACAAAAATAAATAAAAGACAATTTGAAGTTCAAAAATTAGACTATCCATGTCAAAATCTCGTCATATTAATTTGAAATCGCAACGAACGCACTCGAAATAGCATCATTCGAACTTGAAGTTACTTTGAACAAGTTGAAACTATAAAGGGAAAACTCGATATCGCGGATGTTAAGTTCAAATCACCATTCCAACTAAAATGCAAATTACATGATTTGAACTTCAATTCAGTTTCTCCACTCTATTAAGCCACTTAAGAGAGTGTCTCTGTAAGAGCGGTCCGGTCGATTTTGCTTGAGACACAGATTTAGCTCATTTCTTGTGTGTTGTAAGACATTCATGTATCTATACTAAAACCACAATCCGTTTGATCGGATCTCTTTATTTTTCAGAGTTTTACGGAAATTAAATTTCACTCGAGCGAAGGCCTGTCGTGACACTTTTCAAGACGTTAA